ATGGTTAGCACTTCCACCTAGTAGTATTAGGGTCATTGGTTAAAATCCCAACCATTGCACCACCTGCCTGGAGTTTGCATGTTCTCCCTGTGCCTGCATGGGTTTCCTCTGGGTTCTCTGGTTTCCTCCTACACTCTAACGACATGCTGTAGGTTAATTGGTTCCTGTCTAAATTGGCCCTAGTATAGATATGTATGTGAGTTAGAGACCTTAGATTGTATGCCCCTTGAGGTTTAGGGACTGATGTGAATGTACAATATATATGTTAAATGCTGCATAAATTGACAGCGCTATGTAAGTACCTGTAATACATTATATAGTCTGTCTGCGCTCTATGAATGAGCAATAGAGACACCCTTGGACAGCAGCATTCTCAGTTTGAGGGAGAGGATATTGTTAAAGTGGTATTAAACCCAAAAACAAACATTTATTATATTGCAGCTTACCATTTCTTAGATGTGATGACTGCATTAGTTATCTTTTTTAGGCTTTCTGTTTTCATCTGATGATATTCAGTGTGCAGTTTGCCATCCCTAATACTTACCTGAGCTCTCTGGGGTCTCTCTCTTCTCATTGGCTAAGACACAGCAATGGGAGCCATTCTCCCACTGCTGTCAGTCACAGCCAGTGAGGAAGAGCAGGGCAGAGCCACACTCTGTGTGTCTTATGGACACACAGAGCAGTGCTTGGGCACAAGCAAGCATGAGTGCCCCCATAGCAAGCAGCTTACTGTGGAGGTAGAGATGGGAAGGCTTGAAAAAAAAAAAAAAAAAAACAGAAACATTGAGAAAAAAAACTTTTTTTTCAGTTTTTTTTTTTTCCAAAGCCATTTTTATTTTTTTGTTTCCGGAAACACTGAAAAAAAGGAGAGTGTAATATATTCTTTTACAATGATAAATAATATATTTATGACGTGGTACTCAAACTATAAAACATGAAGACATTAATGAAAGATTTCTGAGATTTTATGTAAAGCCTTAAATTATTACGTTCTCTCAGCTGAAGACAAGCAAATCCTGGAATACAGTTCAAGTAACACTGTACTTCTTAATGCAGTTCTCAAACAAGAGAAATATGCATTTCTCCCACTGGGGGGGGGCACTGCAGGCGAAATGGACCAGTTTAGTTTGCTTTTGAGCTCCATCTTGTACCTCCTACAGTTGGGTGATTGCTAGGATACAGTAGATGGTCGTTTCTGTCCTCTTAGGCCTTAATTGGCAGGCAACAGAGGGTAAATTTGTCTGACAAATTAGTTTATCTTTATAGCCATTAAATGATTCCCCCAATGTCCATATCCTACTGGCAAAAATAATGCCAGTTACTTACCTATTTTTTGCTATTGGTGCTAAGGAGCAAATCTGATTTTTTGTTTTTTTTTATGTTGATGGTTTCTTGCTTTTATATTTCTTTTGAGGAAAGGGGATGGTTACCTGTTCTCATGTATAGTTGAAATGTTTTTAACATATACAGTCCTTGTTATTCAATTTGTAATAAAAAAAATACAATTTTATAAAGCAAGTTTAGTTTATTTACGGAATAAGCTGTACTTTTATTTCAGGCATAGCACTTTTATATACACTGCATTTCACGTTTCCACTGTAATAAAATGACTTTCAATTTGTAGAACTACTCCACACTGAATTTTTTATTCAGTTTTTCCAAAAATGTCTATTTTTTCTGGAAAAAAACAGTTGTTTCTCATTACTTCAAAATTTCCAGAAATTTTACATCTCTATGTGGTAGGAGGGAGGAGCCAGGAGCGCTGATGGGGGACCCCAAAAGCAGTGGATTTGGACTGGTTTGTGCAAAACCATTGCACAGAGCAGGTAAGTGTAACATGTTTGTTATTTTAAAGAAAAAAACTTTACCTTTAAAATCACTTTAACCACCTCCTGTCCAGCCATTGTATATAAACGGCCGGACAGTGGCAGTGCAGGGTCAGGTGGCCCTTTATAAAAGGCCTCCCTGCCCCTTGCTTGCGTGCCCTCCCTGGGAGTGTGCAGCACCGCAGACACAGTGGAAACCCGATCGTCGTACGGGACCTCTGTGCGAGGTATCGATCATGTGATCACTGATTGGCCAATCACATGAAGAGTAGTAAGCAAGATGTCACTTCTGACATCAGTGCTTACTACGTGCGAAATCTGTAAATGATCACAGAGGTCACATGGTACAAGGCCATTCACAATAGCCTTGTGCCATGTGACAAACTGTGACTAATCAAGCTCACACAGTAGTTCTCAATGGCTGCAAGAGTGCAGCCAGAGAAAAGGAGAAATGATTGCTTTTACAGCCTTTATGGGTGTAAAAGCTATCAGTGTAAAAAAAAAAAAAAATCTTCATCACCCCCCACAAGTAGTACAGTAGTAGTCACATGGTGACACTGTACTGCTAGGGTGATAGTATGTTAAAAAAAAAAAAATAATAATATAATAAAATAAAATAAAAATGTAAACAAAAATGTTTAAAAATTATAAATTTTGGTTATAAACTAATTTGGGTTTTTTTTTTTTTTTTCCCACTACAAAGATACTGGAAAAAATTTTGGCCAAGATTTTTGATGAAATATTATTTATTTGCAAAATTTTATAAGAAAAACACTTTTTTTTTCAACATTTTTGGACTTTTTCATTTACACAGCAATAAAAATAAAAGTGGTGAATAAATACCACCAAAATAAAGCTTTATCTGTCTCAAAAAAATGCTAAAAAATTCACTTGGGTACAGTGTTGCATGACCGCACGATTGTCATTCAAAGTGTGATTGCACTGAAAGCTGAAAATTGGCCTGGACAGGAAGGGGGTAAAAGTGTCCGGACTTGAAGTCGTTAAAGTAAGTTTAAAAATACCACTTAATCGCCTGATCACCAGTTAAAAAGAAAGAACATAAAAATGAAAACACATGCAGCCACCACATTTAGTGATTGTCCGCTGCAGTAAAATCCATTTGTGCTTTAGGGTTTCGATACACTTTAATTTGGAGTTTTAGTTTTGTCAAGGTATTTTATTTTCTTCAATTTATATATCCACACATGCATTCTTTCTTTTACCTTCTTTTACTATGATTGGAGACGGAGAATCATTGCATTCTCTGGTTTTGGGAAATAAAAACGATATATGTGATTCTTATGCATTTGATTCATATGTAGAGAACTCTGCCCCACTTCTGTCCAGTGTCTCATTACACAGTTCTCTACTTTCTCAAAACCTGCTGTTCAATTGTCTGTTCAGTTCTTTTTGTTCTTGAGAAGAGAAAATTGAATTGAATGGTTCTTCCCACCCAAGTTTGAGAAACATTAGCCCCTCCAGGGGTGTCCATCTATGGAGGACTTTTATTCAGCCCATTGTAACTTGCACACAGTGAATAGTTAGTGTATGTAAGGCAATGAGAAATGTTTGTGTAATCTGTCTGCACATTTGGCTTGTCTGATGATCATCCCACCTGTGAAGAGATAGCACCTGAAGTCATCCTTGGGGACCTCCTCACTTTGTGTGTAGGGTGGAATTATATTGGTCTTTGTCCTCAGGCATTGCCTTCTGAGCACAGTTAGAAGCCACCAGAGTAAAGCAGCCCAAAGATTATGCATTTATTTATTTTTTAACACGGGTGGGAGACAAGGAAATTTCTTGATTGCCTCATCAACACAGTCAGTATTGATGGGGGAATCCCTCCTGCAGTGCTATTGTGTTCTGCTGGTGGGAACCGCAGGGAACACAATGATCGCTGCTGATGGCTATAGTCACTGGCAGTGAGGGCTTGAAAAACATCAGACCGGCTCGTGGTGCTGGATTGACTTCAGTGCAACCAGCCTGCCCATAGAGGGATCAGATATTGGCTGGTCCTTGCTGAACAGGCTGAGATTCCATCCATCTATGGCTGGCCTAAAGCAGGCCATTCATTACGCATTTTTTTTTTCTTACAATACGAGTGAAAGGAAAGAAAATTGTTTGATTCCCCCATCAACACAGTAAGTGTTGAAATGGGAATCCTGACTGCAGTGCTATTATATTATTCTGGTGGGGAGCCTTTCCTGCCGGCAGAACATAATGATTAGTGTTGCCGCCTATAGCTGGGAAAAACCTGACAGGCTGGTTGAACTCAAGTCGATCGATAGATCGACTTGTGTACAAACAGGGTGCCCATACATGGATCGAAATTTGGCCAGTCCCTACTGAACTGGCCGAATTTTGATTCATGCATGGCCGGCTTAAGTACATGGTTCAAATTATGTTCAATTTCTGATGTTTTGGCAGAAATTTGAGCTACAGGCAGTTCTGTCATCACCACGCAGCTCAGCAAACTTGAACTGAAAAATTGAGCCGTGTAGAAAACGTATGCATTCTGTCGGGTGCAAGGCATTGTTCAGGTATTCAGGCAACCTCAGGCATGCAGCTGTCTGAGTATAATAGCTTGCACCTCTACGTGTGGCTAGGGGAATCTATTACATGTGGGTGGCCCTGCCAACACCACCCAGCGTGGCAAACTGTGATTGAGAAATTGAAGGAGCTGGCCAAATTGTGATTGCAGCCAATCAGATGCAGTAACTATTTGGGTATTTTGACAGCCACAGGTGCAGAATGCAGTGCTCAACAGTGGGGGAATCGTCCATCTATATTGTTTAGCATTGATGTGGGAATCTATGGATCTCTACCATTTGGTCCAGTAGAACTGTGTAAGGTCAGTTTAAGACCAGCACAGTGTGAAGACAGTAACAAACATATTGATTGCCTCCCAAAGAGATCATAGGATCACAGCTTGTATCTTTCGGGGACTTCAGTGAGTAAACCTCCTCTAGGAGATCTCACATCTGCTCTACTGTAGACATCATTTACTCAGTCTGTGTCATCACTACATTCTGCAGAGGAATATGTAGACAATATAGATGTGACCTGGTGACTTTTCTACTCTGCCTGAAGCCCAGCATAGTAAATCACAGATTACAGTTTTAAGAGGTTTTAAAGTGGACCTATAGTAAAGCACATGTGTATAAAATCAAGCACCTAGGCATGCAGACTGCTTCTACAAACATTTGTGAAAGAATGTGTCACTCTCAGGAGCTCAGCGAATTAAAGCGTGGAACCGTGATAGGTTACCACCTGTGCAATAAGTCCATCTGTGAAATTTCCTTGCTGCTAAATATTCCACTGTCAACTGTTAGTGGTGTTATAACAAATTGGAAGTAACTGGGAACAACAACTCAGCCATGAAGTGTTAGGCTGCGTAAAATGACAGAGCGGGGTCAGCGCATGCTGAAGTGCCAACTGTTTGCAGAGTCAATAGCTAAAGACCTCCAAATTTCATGAGGCCTTCAGAGTAGCACAACAGTGCATAGAGAGCTTCATGGAATGGGTTTCCATGGCCGAGAAGCTGCATCCCAAGCCTTACATCACCAACTGCAATGCAAAGCCACTGGACTCTAGAGCAGTGAAGACATGTTCTCTGGAGTGATGAATCACGCTTCTCTTCTAGCAATCCAATGGGCATGTCTGGGTTTGGCGGTTGCCAGGAGAACGGTACTTGCATGACTGCATTGTGCCAAGTGTAAAGTTTGGTGAAGGAGGTGTGGGGTTATTTTCAGGAGTTGGCTTTGGTCCCTTAGTTCCAGTGAAGGGAACTCTTAAGGCGTCAGCATACCAAGGCATTTTGGGGAGTTTCATGCTCCTAACTTTTTGGGAACAGTTTGGGGATGGCCTACCTGTTCCAACATGACTGCGCACCAGTGCACAAAGCAAGGTCCATTAAGACATGGACGAGAAAGTTTAGGGTGGAGGAACTTGACTGGCCTGCACAGAGTCCTGACCTCAACCTGATAAAACACCTTTGGGATGAAGTAGAGCGGAGACTGCAAGCCAGGCCTTCTCGTCCGACATCAGTGCCTGACCTCACAAATGTGCTCCTGGAAGAATGGTCAGACATCCCCATAGACACACTCCTAACCTGGTGGATGGCCTTCCCAGAAGAATTGAAGCTGTTATAGCTGAAAAGGGTAGGCCAACTTAATATTGAACCCTATGGACTAAGACTGGGATGCCATAAAAGTTCATGTGCGTGTAAAGGCAGGCCGAACAATACTTTTGGCAATATAGTGTATGTAACGCCACCACCACTTCCATTACTCGTTCTGCTTTGTATGTGATGACATCATCTGCACTACTCAAAAACGTAAGCTGTTTCTTACGACCAGATGGCCAGTGGGAAGGTAGACTAGAGGAGCAAGGAATAAAGTAAGTATTCTTCTGCATTTCTCTAGACTAAACAAACATCTTAATCTTGCTATTTGGGGTAAGCTGGCACATAATACAGTTTTTTTGGCTGACTTGAGATCATATTTAACTGTACAGTCTTGAAAACTGTTGTCTTCCTTTCTGCTTCCAACTGTTTGCTCTCTGTGTGCGGCAGTTCAGCCCCGCTTTAGCAGATTGTTTTGGATGAACTGACCCTCAAAAGTACAGACAGACAGATGTAAGGAAGATTTGATAATGTCTTGTGATATGATGAACCATGACTACTAAATAATTTAAAGCGGAACTAAAGGTAGTAATACTTAACCTCTGTTCTAACGATTTTCGGCTGTCTTGATTAGCTGGAGTGGGATGACATCACTCTTGTGCATGTGCAGGAATTCAGTCGTCTCTACACATGAGCAGTGTGCCAGAATGTGAACTGAGCTGCAGATGCACAGCTCAGTGTACATTCTACAAGGAATTGCGAACAGGCAGGTAAGTGTATTTTATTGCAACATAGACATTAGGGGGTTTATTTAATAAAACTGGAGAGTGCAAAATCTAGTGCAGCTGTGAATGATAGCCAATCAGCTTCTAACTTCAACTTGTTCAATTAAGCATTGACTAAAAACCTGGAAGCTGATTTCACACTCTCCAGTTTTACACCCCGGTCACATCGAGTGCGACTTGACATGCAATTTGCATGCCATGTGACTTGCAAATCGTATGCCAAGTGCGGTTCCGACTTAGTTGGACCTGCACTGATTTCTAAAGTAGTACATGCACTACTTTTGTTGCGATTTGCATATACAGTGGGGATCTAAAGTTTGGGCACCCCAGCTAAAAATTTGTATTAATGTGCATAAAGAAGCCAAGGAAAGATGGAAAAATCTCCAAAAAGGCATCAAATTACAGATTAGACATTCTTATAATATGTCAACAAAAGTTAGATTTTATTTCCATCATTTACACTTTCAAAATAACAGAAAACAAAAAAAAAATGGCGTCTGCAAAAGTTTGGGCACCCTGCAGAGTTAATATCTTGTACTGCCCCCTTTGGCAAGTATCACAGCTTGTAAACGCTTTTTGTAGCCAGCCAAGAGTCTTTCAATTCTTGTTTGAGGTATATTTGCCCATTCTTCCTTACAAAAGTCTTCCAGTTCTTTGAGATTTCTGGGCTGTCTGTCACGCACTGCTCTTTTAAGTTCTATCCATAGATTTTCAATTATGTTGAGGTCAGGAGATTGTGAAGGCCATGGCAAAACCTTCAGTTTACGCCTCTTGATGTAATCCCCTGTGAATTTCGAGGTGTGTTTAGGATCATTATCCATTTGTAAAAGCCATCCTCTCTTTAACTTCAGCTTTTTCACAGATGGCATTAAGTTACCATCCAAAATTTGCTGAAATTTTATTGAATCCATTTTTCCTTCTACTCGTGAGATGTTCCCTGTGCCACTGGCTGCAACACAACCCCAAAGCATGATTGATCCAACCCCATGCTTAACAGTTGGACAGAGGTTCTTTTCATGAAATTCTGTGCCCCTTCTTCTCCAAACGTACCTTTGCTCATTCCGGCCAAAAAGTTCAATTTTAACCTCATCGGTCCACAGAACTTGTTTCCAAAATGCATCAGGCTTGTCTATATGTTCATTTGCAAAGTTCAAACGATGATTTTTGTGGTGAGGACGTAGAAGAGGTTTTCTTCTGATGACTCTTCCATGAAGACCATATTTGTACAAGTATCTCTTTATAGTGGAATAGTGTACCACAACTCCAGTGTCTGCCAGATCTCTCTGGAGGGATCGTGCAGTCAAACGTGGGTTTTGAATTGTTTTTCTCACAATCCTGCGAGCTGTTCTGTCTGATATTTTTCTTGGTCTTCCAGATCTTGCTTTAACTTCCACTGTTCCTGATGACTGCCATTTCTTAATTACATTCCCAACAGAGGATATTGACATCTGAAAACGCTTTGCTATCTTCTTATAGCCTTCTCCAGCTTTGTGAGCGTCAACTATTTTCAGTTTCAGTTTTCTAGACAACTGCTTAGAAGAACCCATGGTGCTGATTGTTGGGGCAAGGTCAGATGAGTCTGGGCATTTAAAACCTTGGCAATTGACATAACCTGGTCTTTCCAGATGATGATTGAGAACAATCCATGACACTGGCAGGTCTCAGCTTGGCAAAGGGGGCAGTGCATGCTATAAATTCGGCAGGGTGCCCAAACTTTTGCAGACGCCATTTTTTTGTTTTCTGTTATTTTGAAAGTGTAAATGATGGAAATAAAATCTAACTTTTGTTGACATATTATAAGAATGTCTAATCTGTAATTTGATGCCTTTTGGAGATTTTTCCATTATGCACATTAATACAAATTTTTAGCTGGGGTGCCCAAACTTTCAATCCCCACTGTACATCTGTGTCAGATGTCTTGCGAATTGCAACTGAAATCAGCAGGTCACCCGATTTTGAAATTGTGCGACTTCACCGTAAGTGATGTGACCGTGGGGCTTATTAAATCAACTCCATTGCATGACTCTCCTGTAATAAAGAGTCTGCCTGTTTGCAATTTTTATTTTTCCAGCTTTAGTTCTGCTTCAAAATGATAAAAATCTGTAACACTGAGCTCAGACATGTTTCAGTGAGGTGGCAGATGCCTTTATTTCAATCATAAAATCATATGCAGTACTAGCAACTGGCCAAGATGTAGGAATGGTCATTTTGCTGCGCAAACAATAGGATTACATTGCAGGAGCAGAATAGTTTGTAGGGAAATAAGTGTGAACCCTGCAGGGTGCCGCGTCTTTTGTTGTTATCATTCGAAGACCTACCCAAATGTAGCCAGCATTATTCCTTAAAATGACACTAAACAATCTATTCAACTATATATTGTTAATTCAGTGAAATGCCTTCTGTTGCTCTCAGCCTCCTCCAAATTCCTTTTTTTTAGTGCTGTAATGTGTCTTCCTGTTAGAGGATGGCTACGTTCATTCTCCATGGTCCCATTGTATGTAGGAACCACCTTCTCCTGCTTGGTCCTGAGATGGACTATGGGATTTGTAGTGTGCTTAGAGCAGTGCATGTGACCATAACTAACATACGCTGCTCATTCCAAACAGAATTGAGGGGGAAAGAAAGAGGCCTGGGAGTTCAAATAGGACATTATAAGGAGGCAGAAAAAAACAAAAACCATTTAATGAAAAATAGATCATAGGGCTATTAAATAGTAGATGCATATGGATTGTTTTGGGGGAATAAGGATATAATTTAGTGCCACTCTGAATTTAGCAATAATGAAGCAAAACTCAAGTCTGTAACTATTTATCCGCCTCCCACCTGCCGTATAGGGAAATGAGGGATGGGTGGGAGTCCTCTTGTTCTGGTAGGACGTTGTATGATGTCCTCCCACTCTAGCTGCACAGCGTGGCAATCAGTGGTGCGCTGTGTCCCTCGGCTGATCAAATATCATGGTAAAGAGTCAGTGACATAGGCTCTACCATGTGATCAGCTATGTCCAATCACAGCTGTTCACATGTAAACAGGAAATGCTGGTTATCGACAGTCCACTCCTCATGCTGACAGCTCGAGAGGAGAGCCGGTAAGCGACATTTTTCAGAGGGGATATCTACACTGATAATCAGAGCACTGATTATCAGTGCAGCCCCATCAATGCTGCCGATCAGTGCCCATCATTGCCGCCAATCAGTGCCCATCAATGCCACATATCAGTGCCCATCAATGCCACATATCAGTGCCCATCAGAGCTGCTTTTCAGTGCCCAGTAGTGATGCCTGTCAGTGACAATCAGTACCTCCTCATTAGTGCAGTCTATTAGTACCCATCAGTGTCACCTATCATTTCCAGTCAGTGCTGCCTATCAGTGCCAGTCAGTGCTGCCTGTCAGTACCCATCACTGCTGCCTATCAGTGCCAGTCAGTGCTGCCTATCAGTGCCAGTCAGTGCTGCCTGTCAGTACCCGTCAGTGCTGCCTCTCAGTGCAGCCTCATCAGCACACATCAGTGAAAGAGAAAAATTACTTATTTACAAACTTTTAGAACAGAAACTAAGTAAAACTTTTTTTTTTAAAAATGTTTTTCATTTTTAGTTTGTTTAGCAAAAACAACCATGGTGATTAAATACCACCAAAAGAAAGCTCTATCTGTCTAAAAATAATGTGGCTTGGGTACAGTGTTGCATGACCGCGCAATTGTCATTCAGAGTGCAAGAACGCTGAAAGCTGAATATTGGCCTGGACAGGAAGGGGGTGAAAGTGCCCAGTAGGCAAGTGGTTATACAATTCTAAATATTATTTTAGCGCTCCTTC